CAAAGAAATGCAATGGTTGCTAAACGCTTCTAATCGTTCTCAGCTTTTCAAAGCAAGTTTAGCTGCAAATTGCTGATGGGGATACGATGAGAGGCTTGGTTGGTCTAAGAAGCGGGGTCGAACCATCACCAAGTCACTAACCACTGCGCCTCGGGTGGCACACGAATTTACTTGATACTCGATACTTGAATGGTCCGTCCTCACTAGTTGTGCGTGCCCCAGCATCAGCATAATCTCTATTTTTCGGAGATTTGCTGGTTAAGCCATTATGGATCCCTGGAGTCCCGAGGTCAGCCTGGCCGAAGTCTGCCCCAAGTCTTCACCACCACAGGCAATCGCAGCCCTTATGGGTCAGAGGGAGATTTACCACCATGCGGCTTTGATAGCAGGACGGTGGCGGATCCTGGTTTTGGTTTACTCTTAGCTAGGCTTACTGAGTAGTGACATTTGCTTCAGACGATAAGTGATGGCCGCCCTCGCCCGTTCTCATCACTTTTTTCCTGTTTAATCTTCTCCTCACATCTCCATACTTCTTAGCCCGACGTCCAGGAACGCCTCCTAGCCATGATGAGGCGGTAAACCGTTACGAGGCCTTGTAAAATGCTTGTCAAAAGTCATGGTTTCCGCATCAGATCTTTTGCTTACAATTCGACTGCGCTCTAATCTATTGATATCTTTCGATGCTGTTCTTATGTGTTGTGTGAGTTATCATGCTCAATGCTTTCACTCCCGAAATTTTATTCTTCGGTGTTAGTGTAACATCGTCATCGCTATCTCAATCTTCCATTATGGTCTAATGGTCGTTGACACAGTATTATTATTATACAAGCAGTATTTCTAATTACTGGGTGCCGAACTGCGTTGTAGAGTGGGGATTCATCCATCTAGCTGGTACTCTCAAGCTGAAAAGGAGTCCGGCGTTTCGATCAAGGAGCCCAGCTGGGAGTAAGCCAATACCAGGATCCACGAACGTCCTGGTATCAAAATAGTCACATGGTAATAAACCTCCTTCTGATTCACAAGGGCGGCGACAGCCTGTAGTGCTAACGATATGAGGCAGACTTATCTAGGCTGGTTTCGGGAATCCGGAGAACCACAATAGCTAAAGCATCGAAACTCCGAAAGATGGAAATTATGTTGGAGCCCGCACAACCAGTGAGGTCGGGCCATCCAAGTATCCAAATAAGTAGGTACGCTCATGAATCTATTGCATAATGCTCTTCATAGTCGTTAATGGAGCTTCTTACGTGCATTATTACTTCCCACTGAACCAGTTTACTTTGCAGTTTGGTGTGCATACATTTCTAACCTAATCGAATGAATGTCGTGTAAATACTATGTGCGTACATGGTTTATTTAACCACCCTAGTTTGAGGTTACCAGGTGCAGAATCTTCACAAAGTCTTGCAGAATGAAAGAGGAGAAGCGACTACCACATGAACTAATCAGCATATTTGCTGCGTTGGGCGGGACCTAACACGTCTGGTCCATTGACCGCCGAACGAACTCGATGGCGCCCAACAACGCAGCGCAACACGCAACGCGACACCTGGGGCGCCTAGCAGAGCACCCCAAAAGGCAACGACCAGCGACGCTGCTAAGTCAGACTATCTACCATTCAGGTAACTCAAAGACTCAATTTTGAATAAGTTACCCGGATTGGATATGATGTCACATTAAAAGATTGCAATTGAGTGCATTGTGGTAGCATGCATTGCTTTTGTTCTCATTTTGATATATTCTCTTCAGGTGAAGAATTTCACTTGATGCTTATGTATTCTCAGGCTGCTTCATGCATTCGAAGTGCCATTTTCAAGTTGGTTTAGCACGTTTTTCACTTCTTTCAAGGTATTTCTGCGTATGGTCTTTGTTATTTGGTTTCAGACGTCCTTAAACGGCTGCCACCAACTGGCAGCTCTACCTTTATCACGGAGGTAGAAACAGCCTCGACGCAAACTGGTGTCAGTGTGCGTACACATACCTACTGCATTTCCGGTGGTGAAGGTATTTCTGTGTACATTTTTAGAAGGCCAGACTTAGTTGCGCAAATCTGGAGTACTTAGGTGACCTTCAAAGCTGAGTCGCGTCTATGTCACTAGGATGGAGACGAGGAAATTCAGTTTTAGAATTCCCACAGTGATGATTTCTGTTGGAAGTCAAACAGTGTAAGAGGGCATGTAGTCTTCATGATATCTGGAAGGAAGCGGTTTGTGATCGTCTCTAATCGTTTTTCTGCTTACTATCATTTCGCTGTTTTGCTCACGACACTAGTGTTTGATCACAAATATAGGTCGAAAATTTCGACATGATCGTAGACGTTGTTATTTGTGTTCTTAAAATGTGCTTGATTTCTTTCGCTTATCTGATTGGTTTTTCAGATTGAGAACTCTGCCAAAACAGACTATTCTATGGTTATGCTACGCACTGTTGACCATCAACGGGATGGAAAATATGGGCAAGTGGAGCAGTGTTATGCCAGTAGTGGAAATTGTAGAAGTGTCTCAAGGCAATGCATCGTGAAGCAGTGAGTACTTCATTTGCTGTCACATGGCATGGTAATCAATACCCATCAATATTTGGCACTTTTGTGACGTAATGCGATTAGCGGATAAGTACATTAGTCCCGTCCTTAAGGAAGTCTCTCACCACAGGCTTATTTCGAGGTGTCTGAAATCGACTTGTGCTGAGTCAATTGTTCACTACTGTTTTCAAGTAGACAAGGTGCTATTCGAAGAAATATGACAGAAAAGTTCATTAAATTTTATTAAAGTTTATTGTTTGTTTTTCTCCTCGCTGTTGCTTTCTGCTTTGAGTTTTCTGTGCAAATGTTATTCATTGCTTGGAGTTGGTCAGTTTCTGTCGAGCTTTGTGTGAATACACTCTTTACTTCGTAGATGGCTAATATTGTCTCTTCTCGTTTGTCTTCTGCATAAACACTTGATTTTTTGTGTTTCGCAAAATCCCAACGTTGATAGAAAGTAGTATTTGCTGAGAGATATTGTATTCGTCGGGTGAAGCAACTTCAATTCTTTAAGATCGCTCTTGTCCTATAGCACTTTGGAGGTTCATGAAATCCTTCCGAGGACGATCACCACATAGAGGACTTCTAAATTTTTTCTATTCTTCATAAAAAAAGGTCCGTATCAATTATGACGCGTGTGGTGTTGTAAAGCAAAAACGATGGTTCAATTCACTGCCTTCTTCATGAGCAGACACGAGGCTGTTATTACAGCATATATTGACAGCAGGTGACATCTCGACCGCTTCGCTATCTTGAGAGCCCGCTAAGGTCAAATTGAAACCCAATCTACTGTTCAAAACATTTTCTTAACCTCGACTGATAAGATGTAATAAGTAGATCATAATTCTGACAGTAAACAGCTTTTTTTGAACACCCGCCACTTTGTTCTCCTCTAAGATTGAGTCTAGCAATTTGTCAACGAATTCAGATTGAGATGTTATGTTACTACTACGCTTTTCATCTATTATGGAATTCATGTAATAAATGTTTTGACGTGATTCCCTGTTCGTTTTTTTTTTTGTAAAAATCAATTCAATGTTCGAAAGCTATGAAGTCGTCACGTACTGGATGAAGTAGTTCTAACGTCGCACCAAAAACTTAAGGTGAATGAAACGCGGGTGGGTGAATGCAGCACGTTGGCTAAGTATTTAACAAGTGGTATATTAGTGTTGAGAATCTGAACTGAAAACTGGAAATCCCCTTTCACCTCGGCAATTTATCCAGTACAATGCTAGGTCACGCCTCGGCGATCTTGCCTCCTTCAGACCCTGGAAAGATCAAAATGACGCAAATTCTTCTCTGCAAGACACTTTCATAACCGCGGAGTTCATTCGAGTGTTTGAGAGTCACCAAGAGACGCCTGTCGCCAGAACTACTCGTGCTGATACAGAAGCGCGGAACCGAACTTGAAAAACAATGCGTGCAGCCGATAAAAGAAGATTTTAAAGAGACAGGAGCGGCAGTCATAGTCGAACCTGCAGAGACAGAAAAGCATTCGCAAAGCCCATAGAAGTTTCGCCAATTACAAAGCCAAGATGATTACACTCCGACGCCCAGACCGAACAGTTACAGCGTCCAGAACGACAGTGGATAGAATCATTCTCGAATACTGCTCAGATCTATTCAATAGCCACGTCGTTATTCCAACATATGAAATAAAGGAGGCTGGATATCTCGTGCCACGTTTTTCCTTCCGAAATCCGACACGCTATTTTGTCGGTAAAAAGTCGAACCACATGGGGAATTGTGGCTTTAATATGAAATAGATCGAATCGATAAAGTGTGCATTTTTGCCAGTTTCAGTAAAGAATAAAAATGTGGCATTGTTTCCACCATGGATTCCAGTCTATGCGGACAGCTATCCAAATGAATGTTTCGTTAATGTCGTTACGTGCTAAGCACAGAGTGCTAAGAAACAATACCATTCAAAAACATTACTTAAAGCACGTTAACAAGTTCTCCATCATATTCTACACAGAAACTGTGGCCAGTGAAATGATATGTCAAACACGTCGGAAGGTTGGAAGAATTGTGTCTTCTAAAAACACGTCCTGATTTCAAATCCAGTGTGTGGCCCACAGCAATCCTTGCATTCTACTCGTTTTCTAGATCCAGCATCCTCAAAGCTCATCGAATATTTTTTGTGGGTTCTCCATCCCTTCTACTTTAGCCGTCATAACAGCAAGCGTTAAAGAGTTTCGAATGGGAATCCACAAGAACGTCACATCAATGCAGTATAGCACTATAGTATTGATAACGACAAGTGGAAAGAGAGTAACCTTTTTTATTGACATCTGTATAAGAAAACGCTACGAACTTCTCACACAATATGGGCTTGCTGCCCTGAAGCGAAAGCCTAGCACTTCTAACAAAGATGGCCAGATTCTACAGTCGAAGGGGACAACAATAATGTGAGAGTACATGAAAACAAGTATAGGATGAAAATATTGTGCTACAGCTGATCTTCCCATCGTTTCCATTACCAAACAGTACATCGGCTCGCCGGATTCATTGGTGTTCCGTCTGGGCAGTTGAAGACAGCGGCGAATTCTTCTTGATTGGCGAGCACTTGATTTACTCTGAAGAACATCTGAACTATATCTTGAGGTTGCTGCTCAAGCCCTTAAGGCGATTCACTGTCGTATTCGTGTCATCGATTTCTTTTAGCATTTTTTTACACAAAACACCCAAAAACCGCTGTGGACGAGAAAGGAAAAAATGAAAAAATAAGTTTCCTTAAAACTGCAAATTTAGTCCATGAACATTATGTTGTTATGTCATACCGATATTTAGAAGGAGAATGTTGGTCACTGAGAATTTGGTCAATCAACAAGTTGGCTGTTCGGCGCTCGCACCACATCTGCAAATGCTTTACTGCCTTCAGATTTCTCCGCTTTTATCTCTTTTCCAACTGAAAATGAAGACTTAAGTAAATTTCCGTCCGCATACTGTTGTATCACATTTGTCCACAAAGATAAATTGTACCCACTCGTAAAATTAACTATCTTTTGCACGCTGATCAAGAATGCAAAGCGAGGGACTCTTCGCTGTCGTGGTTTGTAGAAAAGGGTTTTGAGTATGTCTTTAGAGATTCTAGGTAGGCGTAAACCTGCAAGAAGCCTAGTCGCTGCTACCAAATTATTTTCGATCGATCCAGGCCAGCGACTACTTTTGGCGATTATTATTAGTACCGTAGCATAGCTATCCTTCTAGTACAAAAATATCAGGAATCTTCAGAGACAACACAGTTCAACGTAATAGTTGCCAAATATCACTTGAAAGGAGAACATGCTGGCAATAGTAGTAAAACTGGCGAAGACAGGCGAAATGGGGATGTAAATATTAAGAGTATTAAAGCTCTCTTCATCCAGCCAATAATATAGAGGAACTTAGTGAAAATCGCAGTACGGCTTACGTAGCAACAACTATTTCTTATTTGTCTCCATTAGTCTTCTCGTCATAAAGCGCGATAACTCTAACTATGATAATTTGGACGGGATGGATCCGATAGAAATGTTGAACCTACGACATCTATGAGGCAGTCGTAGTAGCGACATTTAATTATGGGCACGAAAGGTCTGCTATATCTACATTAAACTGATGAAGTAGCAGGAAGAAGAAAATAAAGAACTGAAAAGAGAGGAAAACATGATTGAAAATTCCACCTTCGACCTACCGTAGCGTATCCGATGAAGAACATTTGCTCGCTATTGTACTCTTCTAGTCCTCTAATTCGCCTTTCCTCTCCAAATTTCTTCAGGTAATTCTTGTACGCCGAAAATTTTTTTTTCGCATTTCAAGTGTTAAAAATCTCGAATGAAACCCGGACATTTTGGTTATTCACTTGGTTTTTCTTCCCAAACGAACAACTGCTTGTAAGTATCTTCTTAAGAAATGATTTTATAAATAGCTCTGAGTCCTACGCTGAACTCGAAAATTTACCTTGAATGCTACCTTTACTCCAGCGTGATCTGCGATATTCTCTCCTTGTGTGAGCTTACCATTCACGTATAGGCCTGCTTCAGGAACCTGCAGTAAGTTTTCTTAGTAAACCTTTCAATCTATTGCCAAGGCATCGAAGTACGTGGGATGTCGGATCACTGAAACCCATACAGATAGCTACTCTCCGTTTTCATCGTAGGATATCAAGACTCTAACTTCCTTATTCCAAAGTTGGTAGCTAGTGGAGGAATACGAAACAGTTACTCTCCCTCCAGTTGTATATCTTCTTTTAAACTACGGGTTTACTTTCAGCAGACATTGCTTCTCATTACTGAGGTTTCTTCGTTTGAAACCTTCACGTCTTCGTCATCATAGCACGTAGGAATTCCTTTCTTTTTACATACCTTTATGTTGTTGTACTGGTCAATAAGGCACTGTGCTCGTTTATTAAACTCCTCCTCCACCTCATCGTCCCACCAATCTCGCAGAATACCGTGACTGTCATATTGCCTTCCTATAAATAGCGAAATTATTTCGACAAAATATCGACTTTTGTTTGCCGCTTATTATTTTTTTATGGCTGGGTATTATTTTAAATACAACCACAATAAAGCTGAGAGAAGAAGAAAACATGGGGGTTCAGCTGGGCTTCGAATCCGTGATTAGAGTAATTTGATAACGTTGGTAAACGTCGTGTAGACAGACCGAAGGATTTACGGTTAAAATATGCTATGCGGTAAACGCAGGAGTTGGGAAACACATAACGGCAGCTACTCAACGGCACGAACAATATGTTGCTCCAGATGCTACCCCGGAGTGAGTGCGGGCCCAGTTGTTTACTGTATGCAGCCTCAGACCTCTCTCCATGTTCGTAACCAGTTGGCTCCAGTTTCGCCTCAAAGGAGATGTTTAGATGCACGCAAGCCACTAAGATTAAAATTAACAAGAAGAGAAGAACGAGTGTCACAGCAGTTGTGTTTACGTTCAATAAGCACAGGCGCTACACCGTAATGGAACGTACAAGCTCCCTTGTTTTACTTTTTTTTCCAATCTCAAAAAATTTGGAGCGGATTCGTCTATGACCAGCTTGCTCATTCCAATCCACGTAAAATCGCTCTTGCTCATTATGACTATTTGGCAACGCCCTAGCATGATCCTGTGGTAATCGACTTGATCGACATTGGGCGGAATTAAAAAAAGACCGAGAACACTCAAGAAGCTGCAAAATCTACACGCTGGATCTAAAGGCAGCAGGAGGAGATGTATGCAAGGAAACGATTTGAAGGTAGAAGGTCTCTGTGCTTAACAAGGTGCGATTTTGACACAAGGGAAAAATAATAAAATGTTGTTTTTCCTACATGAAACCCATTGCCTTTGTTGGAAGAAAAACGACCCGCTCCATTCTTTACAAAGCAACTATAATGGGAAATTAAAACTTCGGTTTGCTAGAAGTAAATACACTGGCTTAAATCGACTCCTGAAGAAATGCATCATGAGTGAATTGTCCAGATTCGAAAGTTTAAAGGTCGAAAACCTTTGGAAGTAAAAGATCATACCCTGGTCATCAAATCCATGACTGATTTCATGTCCAATCACGGTCCCAATGCCTCCATAGTTCAGTGCTCTGAAATAATTTCAGCACATATTGGTTTTCTCAGTATATATTAGGTACTCAAGGGCACGTTCATTTTGTAGTTCTGGGTTATGCTCTTTAGTCTAACTTGTTTTTTCCTCACAATTAATTTCGAACTGAGTAGACGGGTAGTGCAATGGGACTGGTGAGGTTCATCGCGAGCGCAGTGCTAGTTCGACCGTACACCGTACCCACTAGGCCCCACATTCCTATGGTGTCGGTAAATTGGCACCAGACTCTTTTCTAGAAACAGTTGACTTCCTGCAACGTATGTGAATATTCTAGCACATTTATCTCAAGAATCTGTAGAGAATCCACTCGGCCAGCAATCGACGACATTCCCAACGAAGATGAAAACATTCTGAAGCAGTACCAGAGCCCGTAAGCAAAGGTTTGAATCCATCCGCGAAGGGTGAAGGCAAAGGGAGGAATCGAATACAGGAAGTGCTGGGATCTGAACTGCGCGACGGATGTTAAATTGGGTCATATAATAACAAATGATGATGCAGTAATCATACTTGATTCACACTAAGAAACCTCTTCTTTGTGCATGAAAACCTCACTTCGGAAAAGTTTTGTGGTAGAAGGGAGCATGAAGAATTGCTGCTGTGATTGCTAGAAAATGTCAGAATAAATACAAAAACCTAATTTTCCTAATTTTAAGCACGGACCACGTAATTTTGTTTCCAAAAAACTCCGTGAGAGCGGGCAGTTTTTTTCCAAATTTTCGTATATTTTTCTTCTCGAAAAAATTGCAGTAATAGTGAGGGATTGCTTACTTATGGAATTTGATATCTGATTATAAAAGGCGTTCACAACCGCCGGGTTAAAATGAACTTCGCTCCTATCGACAGACTTCATGAGACGATTAAACTGGAGATCTTTTCGCCATCGGATGCATTTCTCCGTCATTTGCTTGTATGAGTCCAATTCCAAAATGGATAGCTGAATGTGAGAATTCAAAAATGTTTGCATGTGTTCAAAGGAAGGTAACACCCAGTTCTATACATAATTGCAACAGTCATGTGCCAAAGACTTGCTTGATTAGTTCAACTCGCAACAGAAACGAGAAGCTGAGAAGGGCTTTTATTCCCACTCTTCTTATTGAGGAGATAACCACACACGTAGTTTGCGTGGGCTTAGCATAAATTTGCTCTTCACAGCGCTTCTGTGGAGAAACATTTGTCTCGATCTCAGCATGTGGTAGCTATTCGCTCAAACAGCAGCTCTTTTTTTGCATTGATCAAAGTTTAAATGGCAATCGCACCTTTACCTAACATTTGCTTTTCTAACGATTCTCGCTATCAACCACTGGTTAGCATTACCTACACACATTCTTGTGCTTCCTGCAAATTGTTTCACAGCAGCCATTTCATAAACGTGTTTAGCAGTTGGATGGTGAAAGCTGTGCCAAGTATTTGTATTGCTGCAGTTGCACGCTCGAAAACTAAGCGCTGAGAGATGCTCTGCGGTTTCCGCCCGCGTTAACATTCCAGTTTGTGCAAATGAAATTAGCCGAGAAGGGGTCACATGCACCCCAAATTGTCACCTGTCCTTGAGTTCAATCTTCCTTCCGCTCAATCATTCTATTGTTCTATTTTTCATAAATATATTCAACATTAATCACAGGGCTCGTGAAGCGCAATAGCTGGTCTGGAATAGACGCGGGTCCGATCCCACGCCTCAGGCTCACCAAGGCTTCCGTTCTTCTCAGGTCGGTAGATTGGCACCGGACCTGTCTGGGAAGATAGTACCCTTGAGCCGATACATCGGCCGGTTACCGCTGGTCAGTATTTAGGCTAATTAAGCATTTAATCACATATAACGATGCTTGCGGAAGCCGAATTCAGGGCGCATCCCACAGCAGTTCTTCACCGCTAAGAGTTCCGTCCTTTATCATTTTGTTAATCACAGTCACATGTCATTTAGCTATTTTAATCGTATTTATACCTTTTAGCATTTTAATCTCGCTGCACCCTTGTCGCTGTATTTTAATACGGTTACATGATGATTCTGTTTCTCAGTTTCAGAGTCTGGAAGAATAGCAGGATTCTATATTTAGAAACGTATTAGTCGGCTCCGTCGTGGGACAACGCTCAACCATGTTGCATGCTATAGTGTAACATGCAGAATAGAGGGAAAGGGAACTCCGGAAAAAAGAATCGCCACTCGGCAACGACATCGCCTTACAAGTAGAGCTTTCTCCGCTTCGGCTTAAGTAACTGGAGCGCAAAGAGCTTTCTATGGATAGAAATCGAGTGCTAGCACCGTCGTTGATGTCATTAATTTAAAAAACGCGCACAAAAGGAGGGAGCGACCTTCGATTTTTTCTTGATTGCTGTTTGAACTCCTAATGTGGTCCCTACATTATTAAACCTTTGTCATGCCTCAAAAATTTCATTGCAGGGGCTCTTCGAATTGTATTGCCGCGCAGTTCTCGATCCTTTGCGAAAAAGCGGAGGAATTTAATGGGTAACTGACAGCTTATAATTAGTCATTTTATGCGCAAAACTATTCAAATAATTATCACAATTAAAATTTGCTCCTCACCTCGCTGTGGTAATCCTCAAGCTCCTTGTCGTCGAGGATGAAATCTGGATATCCGATCACTCGTTGAATCTTCCTTGCTTTATCGAGTGCCGACTAATTATTTAACCTTTCTTAAATGCTCTTTATTCTAAAACTATTCTCCACTTACTGCCTTTGTAGAGCTATCAATCCAATCGTTCTCGACCAGCATGTCGTGGAATGCTTCCTGTATATGGTTGACCATCTCTAGAGTAGCGTTTTTCGTCTCCTAAAGAATGCTGAGCACTTCCTCGTGCTTTTAAATATTCGTTCAATTTTTATCAATCATTCAACTCATTCAATTCAATATGCTAGATGATCGGTCTGTATTCGCCCAGGTGACCCAGTTTTGCACATTTTCTATGGAAGTATTTTCTCCCGTTAACGGTGAAACATGTAGAAGAGCAACAATATTATAAAAATGATAAAGCTTTTGGTCTTTATCACTCCTTGAAACATGAGAAATGAATTCGACTTCGTTGGGCATCTTGGGTGTGACTGAATGCACATTTGGCCTTCATCATGGCTTGCTGTTTCAGAACGACACATCTGGTTAGTTCTTCCAGACAGGTCTGGTACCAATTTCTCGACCCCAGAGAGTTACAAAGCTTTGTGGGTTCTAGGCGAGTGATCGAAACAACGATCACGTATGTATTGCAATGAACCTCTAGCCATTACTCTACATGATTGAAATAAATAAATCTAGAGCTCACCTCACTGAATGCCTTTTTTATGTACAGCGCCCCAGAAGCTTCTGGCAATCGCTTCACGACAGCATAAACGCAGTCGCTCCACCAAGGAAGTGTTATGCTTTGTCCGTAAATGAGTTTGTAAAATTCCTTAAAGGGCATTAGCTTTTCCCATAAAGAATTAATGCTCAGGAATTCAGTTGATTCTTGGAAACTGTTATCCATTCCGTTTTATTCAGAGCAAAAATCGGCCAAAATTGTTCAATTTCGTTTTCTTCCTTTCAAATTAGAAAGATTTGCTCACATCGTACCCATCCATCAATCACCGTAAAAAATTATTTTAAAGGATTCCAACAAACTTTGGCAACTTCTTCATATCGACCTCCAAGCTCTCCTTCCCACTTGAGAAAATAGCAAACATAGACGTAGTTTGCGATAATCACTGAATCCGTCGAGATGAGGAGATTGGCGACTCTGGAATCCACCTGTGATTCGTAAACATTAAAGAGGCTATTCAAAATCGGCGGCACCTTTTCATGTAGTCAATTTCTTCTATGACAATTTGTGGATCAGCTGCTAGGTAGTTGTAGATGGTAGGTGGCGTGATCGAATAGAAGAAAATGGTCCAGTTAATCTGTGAGCACCTGGACTTTTACTCCAAACACACCTTGTTAATATCTTTTTTCAAAGGAAGCGCTTCCATGAATTCTACACATGTGGTGATTGAAATTCCCACCAAAGGCATTAGTGCTTGCATCTCACTGAGCCTTCTCAGATTGTACATTTCTGTGTGATTCCTTTGATCTTCTGTGGCCACCATGATTTCCGCCAGATCGCTTTCGAAGTCCATGATCTCACCTACTTCGTGCGCGATTCGCCTTTTATTTACAGGAATATTAGCGTCTTCTTGGAGCAGTGCCACCTCAAATATCCAATTCGTGCTTTATTTTCCTTTTAGAATAGTTGCTCCATTTCTTAAGTAACAAGGAAGTTCAAACATATTAACGTAGTCGACCAACCATTTTTATAAGGTATTTTTTACGGGCATTAATGATTTCACCATAGTTTTTTCTGTTCAAATAGTAATCACGATGTGAAACCAAACGAACCGCTCCCTGCGAAAGCTGAAAGAGTCTATTGCTTACACTCCGTGCGAGTTACCTTCGTAACAATAGAAAATCCAAAATAAACTATTCACAAAGAAGAATATTCATCTATGACACCAATAGTATGCAAAACGTGAAAACGTGTAACATTTGCTAAAGAGGAGCCAAATAAGATCAACCCCATTACCCAGATCAGCCGACGAGATGTGTTTTTCTGGTCGATCCCTACGCCGAATCTGACGAAGACTTGAAGTAGTCTACTCTCATAGACGTTGCTCAGAAGTGTCGTCAAGTTGAAGTGTTCTCCACGCCATATGTCGCCTTCGAGCATTGGCCATGGCACGGCAAAGCCCTACAGTAGGAATGAAATCTTTGTCTTTTCAAACTTTTGTATGTTTTCTATATTCCAAGTATATTATGGAAGACACGACCTATATTGACAAGTATATCTCTTATAAATCCGGCTATTTTGAATGGAATGGTTAACTACGTTAATCGAAATTTTCAAAAAACTATTTATGGGATGCCCTTCATGAGTACGGTAACGGCTTCCTTGTTTTGTGTAGTAGTGATATGCTGTGTGCAATGATTTCTTTGCTGCATTTTTGCACCAAGGAAGCCCGTCTGTGAACACTTCTTGTTCACGGCAGAACCACAACCTATTGAGGAAACGGGTAGATATGTGACCCTGGTATGAAGTTGTACTCATCACTGCCAAAATTATTAGCTCTCAAAAGGGAAGGCCCCTTACAGAGTTATAGTTCTCTCAGGTGTTTCCAAAAATTGCGTCTAAGGAAGGAATTGTCAGGTCTCTCTGCAATATTCTGCTCATTGCGTCTTTGATTTTTACCAAAAAATAAGCCATGTTGACATGTATGTGTACCCTTGTTGCAGTTCACATTTATAATCTATTGCTGTTGCTGCTTGCATTTCACACCGAACCAGCGGTCTTCCCTGTCGATAATTTATCACGTAGTTAGTAGGAATGTTAGTCGGCGTCGAACTATGACCTATAAAAAGCTTGTCCCCATTGCATAAAAAAGATAAAAGACTAGAACTCCGCACGTTGATCAATCTTCGGGTGATGCCCCATTCATTGGGCTTCACCAAGCATCGTTAGAGAAATCTGAGAGCATACCTGGCACATACAAAGACTCGCACTTGCCTAGCTGTGTACGAACCCAGTGCTGGTATCCTCCCAGAAAAATCTAGTACCAATTTAACGACCCCGGAGATATGGAAGGCTGGCTTGGTAGGCTTATGATGCGGGATCGAGCCCGTATGTATTCCCCGCTGCATAGCCACCCAGTATAACAAAGATTTGGGCGGTTGCGCCCCAAAATCAGGTTATGTCTCTTCGAGCTATGTTTCAATAGAGCCTGACGACCAACCTCTACTTGAGGAGGGGAAAATTACAAAAGCGTGGAGCAATTCATGCACATGAGAGAGAAGCAAATTTTCCTAGCGGTTTTAGGACCTTGCTGCTCTACACAATTCTCTTCAAGGTGCTTTATTGATTTCTTAGGCATAGTTCCTATCTTTATGTTCAAATATCGCTGCAGTCTAGTTAAAAGAAATACTTACTCTTATCGCGTCTAGTAGATTTCTAGCACCGTTCCTTCTAATCTCTTCCTTATCCATACATTTACGATACATCGCTCTCACAGCGCGTGCGGGTTTCGTTCTAGGAACTTTGGACGATTCGAAGATTTCTGAGAAGTGCTTATTAAATCTCGAGAAAAACAAAGTCTTTTGCTGTTAGAACTCCAATAATGTTAATTTAGCTCGAATTTTATTTGTTTGGCTTCGACATCAGTTACGGTGTTGAGCAGCGCAGTATTAATGAAACAAACTCAAGTGTGGCTTTATTTCCTACCTCTGATTTTTCTACGAACTTGAATTTCAACAAAACTGAAACGTCTAATGTTGGGTATTTTGCGAAATCTTGCTTTCCAGTTCCCACAGGTGAATTCATAAAAATCCGTGCACGGATCCACCTAAACTGCGAACATCTTCCGTGGTTGAGGGAACGGAGGGATGAACTCTACCTCTACTTTCCGGAACAATATGCTTTCAGTAAGAGATAATTAGCTTTTCGCATCAATCTTTCATATATTTTATTTTGCATTCTACCTAACTGAAATACATGGTTTCACTTATACTGTAAATTTGCATGTCTGTGGTCATCAGTGGAAAGGAAAGTTCCAGGACGTATTAAACAACCAGAATAATGTGTACACTTTTTATTTACTACCTATTCTTTTTTCACGGCGGAGCATGATATGAAATATAACCACAGTGATTCTGAAGTGTTTGCAAAGCTCTGGACTGCAGGTGTCTTCGGTGGAGACCCAACACGCTACTACCCTTTCCGGGTGCTAACTCTTGCACAACCACACCATGCTGGTTTTTCGGCTTAACTTCTATTACTGCCTAACTGGGTTTGTTGCCGATTTGTGCTACCAGATAAATCTCGTTGACGGATGATTTTTGCTAGTACCCATAAAACATAGCGGACAATGAGGCAAAGAGGGATCGGCATAGTGTTCTGGTGAATACACGAGTCCCTGGAAAGGGTTATAGCGTGTTCGATCTCCACAGCAGACACTTTCGGTCCGGAGTTTGGTAAATATTTCAGCATCATCGTAGCTGAACCGGAATAATGATGATGTCGTAGGGTTTTTCGTTATAAGGCTATGTTTCTGACTTAAAAATACAAGCATAATACAAGGATCTGACCGAGGCGTTAATGGATTCCGTGAGCATCTTGGATGCGACGTCGTATCCCGGAGGATCGGAATGTGCTGCTTCGTGATCGCATGGCCCTGCTATATAGGGTACCGCGAAGCCATAGTGTACCACCAGCACAAGAGACCAGAAAATTAAAACCTGAAGAGGCCCTTTTTATTCTAAGGCTTTTCATGAAATATTTTCATGCTGAGGATGGAACGAAACACCGTGCTAGTTGCAACCAATTATTTTATGAAGTCGGCGAAGAAATTAAGACCGATTCTGTCATTACAACATTTACAACTGCACAGTCGTTATTCTCTACTTAGAGTATTGCCACACCGTTGTTACTCTTAATACGTGCTCATCAGTCGCCCTTGTAAGGGTGTTCAAACAAGGCTCATGGAAAGGTTCCTTGAGGGTGCGTAAATGGGACCTAGAAATTTCGTACCGGCGATGGGACTCTTCATAGTGGACACCTATGGGCAGTTTTCTTCTGTTATTTAACGCCAGTAATCCAGGCTGCTCCTCTAAAAACTACATCAAGGATTACATAGTAGTTAATCACTAACAAGGTAACAGCCTTGCTGTTTGGAAGACACTGGGAAAGGAAAAACAGCTGGATAACGCAGAAAAAATTAAGCGAACAGTCGCGATATTGTTATATATTTGTTCTATGCTTGTTTTTAAAAAAAAAAGAACGATTTTCCAATCTTTGTATAAAATTCATTGCTGTAGGTTTTCTATATTCGATGGAAGAAGTTACGCAATCGAAGGTTTTCAATTTTAGTCTACAACCGCAATAGAAGGAACAAAAGTGATGACACGAAATATATGAAATCAAGCAAAACCACCACCATTCGTATCCACAGGTGACCAGCGAAAGGTGTCCAATACTCTTTTACAACGAACGAAAGCGCGGCGCACAAACAATGCAACTACAATTGAACAGCTCGGTTCGATCTCCACCCGCGTACGTCAAACACCACATCCCTCCGCGGCCGAGAAATAGTGACTGACTTGGAGCGGGACAGCGGCACTTTAATCACTCTTCTTTAATGCGTTTAAGTTCTGGCTACATCTAATCGATGTGGGAAAGCCTTAGTCGACAATCGTGTTAGAAAAGTAAAGGCACAAAACAAAGTGCCCAACCTATGTGGTAGTAGTTGAATAAGTAGATGTCGAAACCTTCTTCACCCGACGTACTCATTGGACCTACCGCAGACCCATTTTCATTGCTCCAAGCATCTGGTAGTCAAACACCAGTTGGAAACTATTCTACAACTAAACTACTCGCAAAAATGCCTTGAAAAAAAGGAACGCTTTAGAACTTTAGAATTAAGGCAAAACAGCGTCTTGTACCATTTCGTCACCTCTTTCTGCGAAATTATGTGCATTTCAGCGTCTTCTCCTTAATGAGCAAGTTTTTTCCGAGCCTATTTATAGTGGTTTAAAATTCGGCGTTTGCTTTTGTGGCACACCACTACATAGAAGATGGGTGGTAGGACGAAATTTCTGTGATTTCGCACCACCGTAGGTGCTGGTCTTTTACCTAGATGGATTCCATTCTAAATACCCTTGCCGAGGTTCACACAAGAGTGCTGTGCTGAAACCTGTGTTGATCCATTTTTACAGTTTAATCCTCTACCAATTGATATTTTTCGCCAAAAGCACTAACATAAACCACTAACAGGATGACGTTATTAGGAATAAATTGGAATTTAGTTGCGTTTTGCTGATCTAGCCAACATCAAATAATCCAGGTACGCCTGAAATTTTCCGGTGAAAACGGTACGGTGCAAAGGGAAACTAGTGTGCTTAACCACGTCATCATCGAACTGGCCAAGACGAGAAAACAAAGCCTAATTGAGTTCTTTTGTGATACTGGAGAAGAAATGTTTCTCAAGGTCTGCGATAGTGGAAGCATCAGTGGCAGTGGTATTCCCGCAAACGTGAGCATTTACTGAAGCATTGGTTGCTCACGACTCAACTGACCCGTCTAGAGGTGGAAAAG